ATCAATAAATAGATAAAATATTAAAATATAGTTATATTCATTATTTGTCTAATATTTCTTAAAACTTTGTTATGATAAACCATGCATTAGTGGTCCAAACACTAGATCAATCACATTCAAATAAAAATAGTTTGATGCCCTCCAAAAGATGTGACATTGAGCCAATTTTTTTGAGCCAATGTGACAAATGCTACTCTCATTTAATATTCATAATTAGTTGTTTCTTCATGTGTTACATGATTCGTATTACACATCTGTAAATATCACACTAAAGGAGGCAAGCAGCACAGCTGCAGTCACAAGTTCAGGATATCCCAACACATTCATTTAGTTTGAGCCAATGCTATATAATATGTTCAACACAACAGTCTTACTCAAAATTATTTGCTAAAAAAAATCACCATTCCAAAATAGAAAAAGCACTTCCCGTTGAACCTCTCTAGATGTAATACAGCATAGATTCCTACTGTATATTATAGATCTAGAGGCAAGAGACACAGCTTAATAACGTGGTGTCTGCTGAATTGCTGTGATTTACTGTAATATGCTGAGGATGGGCCATTTCAGTGTGGTACTTCAAGCCTCTTGTTGTTCTCTCTCTCTTTCTCTCTCTGTTTGGGATTCACCTTGCGATTCCATTTAAGGGCTTGGTTCTTTATTGTTCAAACACACACACGAACAGGCCCATACACAGATGTCCTCTCATACCGGCCGCTCCGTTATCTCTTTAACCATTGCTATTTCTGTAAAATAGCTTCAGTTTGGCAGCTGATCTCTTCCACTGTACAGCAAAGCACATTAAAGACCCCATAAAATTGAAATTGCTTTTAGTCAAGAAATCTTTTAGTCAGTGTCTGTTAGCTTTGAGGTCATCTGTATGTTAGTGTAGGCTACTCATAAAAGTTAGGAGTCAAATAAAGTTCTGGGAAAACAGACCAAAAATATTAATGACTGATCTCACACTCATGGGTATATCCAATTTTTTTTGTCCAGTAAAATGCTATCTAGAATGAGAATGTCCCCTTCTAAATTATTAATACCATCTGTCTTTGATAGCAGTAGCAAGTAGCAAGTCATGGTTTGTGCGCAAACACACAGACTTCACCTACTATTCATCTTGCGTCTAGTGACGCAAAAGGGACCAGCCATTCATTATGTCCCGACGAAGGACGGATTATGACATTGGCTTGCCCTGGGCACCTGGGCACAGATGTCTCGCACCATCTGTACACCAGAAGTGTGCTGTGTGGTGTGACACAACACGAGGAGATTGTGACGGTATAATCAACGAGTCTCTCTGCCTCGCAATTGTATCGTCATTGTGCACTTGCTGTGTAGATAATCATCCTTGATTATCATGGCAACAGTCCAAGCTAATATGTTTCTGCAGCTCATCAGTCTGGAGCCCAGCAGGCCTGAATACAACCCAGGCTCATTGGAAAAACATGCCTGTGATGACATTTCTGCACAATGATAGGTAGCTTCTTGGACATTTTTGCAACACAACCAAGGTGAAATGTCCAGTTACTGACGCTAAAAGCATGTTCAGTTTTATTTAAAAGAGATGAACCAGAATCTGACAACGACTTATTATGTATGTTTCTCAGCAGTTCAGAAGTTCAATGTCTACTATTTGAACTCTATGTGTTTAAAAATAATATAGGATCTACACTAAACCCGAACCTAAACCTAACCTATAGTGTTAATAAAAGGAAACGGCATTTTAGCTTGCTTTTACATGTTTTCAAGCTCTTTTATCATGACTTATGATTCACCGGACTCATATTTGAGGACTTGCAACTCTGGACTCCTAAATCTAATGCTGTACCGGGTGCGCTACTGAGCAAGTGTACGTCATCAGAAAAGCCACACGTATGGAGCTGCTTATGTGATGCAAACTTCAAAATGTTTGTTTACAAATCATGCACTATGGTAAAAGTGTTTTGAGGTACTGTGCAAGGAACTGCATGAAAACAACTATTTATTAATTGATAATCTGACCTCTGGAATCATCAATCAATTTGTGAGAAAAGGAATAAGTTGTTGCTGTTTTACTGCCACTAGTGTTCATTGCAGATGAAAACTGCAGTGAATTGTATTTATTGTATTGTATCGTATGGAGCTGCTTATGTGATGCAAACTTCAAAATGTTTGTTTACAAATCATGCACTATGGTAAAAGTGTTTTGAGGTCATGACATAGTACTGTGCAAGGAACTGCATGAAAACAACTATTTATTAATTGATAATCTGACCTCTGGAATCATCAATCAATTTGTGAGAAAAGGAATAAGTTGTTGCTGTTTTACTGCCACTAGTGTTCATTGCAGATGAAAACTGCAGTGAATTGTATTTATTGTATTGTATTTTTTTTTGCAAATATTTAGGTAGCTGCAATGAGCCTACAGTATGTTGCCCAGATATATACAGTATGGAGGCCCTTACAAAACTTCCTGATTAAATTTAAAATGTCAACAAAGAAAAGATAACTACACGTCGTTCTATTTCTAGCTGACTTGAAAGATAGTCAACCTTCCTGCCTCAAACCACTGACTAACCGAGATGAGTCATTTTGATCACCATGTCTGAACTTCTAGAAGTTTCTGTAACCGAATCTCACTTATGAGAAAGTAATTAAACGCCAGGTGGTGGTTTCTCTCAGGGGACAGCTCATGAAGTTCTGTGAACGATCTGTAAAACTGTAATCATCACAATCCAATCCCTGAACCCCCAAACCACACTGCACTCATCTCTCCAATTCCACTACGTCATCAGAGAAATAGCCATAGCCAGCTGTTATTAAGGTCATTATGTTTCATTTACGGAGGGGAATAGCTGTCCAGCGCTGGTGTTTCTGGACACACACCACACAAATCAATACACTCATCCAAGGTCACAAAATGGGCCTTATGTAACCCGACTTCATTAGTAATCATTACACAAAGCAAAATGTGCGAAAATTTGAACACATTTATTAATGTGGCCTAAAATAGACTCGTTACGTAAACTGTATGTGTGGCGTTCTTGTGAGGGAGTGCCTGTGTACTTGCCAGGTGAGAATGAGGATGGATGATTATATTGTAAGAGAGAATGAGATGATTTATGAGTCTAATTAGAGTGAGTGCATTCGGGGCAAATGACAGTAAATTCTCCTGCTTTGTGATGTTTTTTGAAGGATAGGACTCTGGGAGGACAGTGAGGTACGTGTGTAGGCTTTATGCCGTCTGTCTGTCTGACTGCTGAGGTAAATAAACTCTTTGTTCCAAAACTAGTATGTTGCCTTGCTGTCTAATTCCTACATAGGATGCTTTATACATTTGAATTTGAATTAGTCTGAGCTTTTTTATTATTATTATTTAGACCTTTTTCATTAGAACATTTTTCTCCATTTTTTTAAATAAATGTTTATCTCAACCTTACAATGTTTTATTTTGTGGATTTTTACTGTTGTCATTTGTCTCATTTTGATGTATTTTGTTAATTTCCTAATGTTTTAAAATGATTCTGACCTGTGACACTTTGAGCTGCAGTTTATGTTTGAAAGGTGGCATACAAATAAATTGTATTTTTATTTTTGTATACTTACCATTTCTCTCCAGTACATCTGCCAACTTGGATTTATTTTTTTTTCTCCACAAAGCTTATAATACTCTATTTTGGAATTGTCATATCCACAAAATATACATGCAGTTCTGCTTTTAGGATTTAGCATATTAATTTAACATTTTTATTATTTTTTTCCTTAACCTATTTTTTTCCTTTTGTTGCTTTTTACAGTTGTTCTTTGTCTTATGTATTTGGTTAATTTCCTGTATTTTTTGTAATTATTCTTACACTTTTTTATTTGTTATAAATTGCACAATCAATTATAATAAACTAAATATTGTACAATATATTAGTTTGTTTATTATTATTATTTTATATAGTTGACATTCTCTCAATTGTGTATGCTACCTTGGGGGATTTCACAGAGCTTTTAACAATGTATTGCCTCATCCACAAAGGATATATTGGCCAAAATGAGGTGTCTTGGAAAGCAGCAAAGCTAAAATTGTACTACAAAAAGGGAAAGTCTTATTACATCTCTGGTTACTGGTTACATATTCAGAAAAACTTTTTCTTGGGTTGTCTTGTTCTGTTGGCGAGACTTGTGACATTAATTAGATGGTTTCTGTGGGGATTTAAACCAATGTAATCCACACTACTGATCAAATTTTCTCTGGATAAAATCCTTTTCTGTTCTGTCTTGCTATTTTACAAAGCTGGCATTGACATTTTAAACTGTCATTCATCCTGTCCCTCACACACTTTTTCAGGTCGTGCCCTGTTGCGGTTGAATGGAGAGAAGCTGGAGAGGATGGGTATAATCCAAGAGACACTGAGACAGGAAGTCTTGCAGCAGGTCCTGCAACTACAGGTCAGAGAGGAAGTGCGTAACCTACAGCTGCTCAGCAGAGGTGAGAGGTCAACACCTGAAACACACACAACCTCATCTGCTATGAAGTTATCCATTATTGCTGCAGTTGACTAGCATGGCCCATGTGGGACAGAGATTCATTCAAAGATTGGGGGGGGGTTAATGAATATTTAGTCATTATAATTTTATTTGTAATCATTAAAAATAATAATATATACGTATAGTATGAATATACTATCATGTAATGTGTAGCGTTTGGACCAATCAGACACACAATTGTTAATTAGATTTACCAAATCAACTTAATTGGACTGAACAATGGTTTTGGTATTTTCATTTAATCATATAATATAATATAATATAATTCTATACAGTTGTATATTCAGTAATTGTATTTTGCTGAATTGTTTTTTTTTCAATTATGTGTGTCAGAAGAATATAATATGATATATGATATGATAATATAATATCCAAGGACCAGAAATCACTGTTGTACAATAAAACATATCCTTATTTTATATATTCATATCCTATTAGGTATTAGGTTGTTTGGGATAAAAGTTTTTCTTGGATACAAAAGTTGTAAGTTTCTCTTTTTTAAAACCTCACTTAAATACAACTTTCAAAGTTTCAAAGGACAACCTGGAGACACAAAGTGTGAGGGTCTCCTCGGAGCAGACACGTCCTCTGAACTCCCGCCTCAGCAAGTGTCAAAGCCCAATGTACCCCATATTAACAAGGAAAGGGAATTAGAGACCACTTAAACGCTGTGTCAGGGAATTCTACCAACAGCTTAGGGGGTAAATTTAATTTAACAGTTCACTAAGTCCTGGTCTCTGTGCTATGATAAAGGAATCTAATTGAACCACCCAGTGGAAAAATCCTCACCTGAGGTTCAAGCAGAGGAGCTGGGTGAGGGTTCAAACAGATGAAGGGTGTTCGAGTGCGAAGGACGGTCAAATAAATGTGCCGTCAATGCTGATTAGTTTGTTTCTGATAGTTGCCATCACCTGTCAGAGCGTGTTAAGTCTGGCTCCTGGGGACTGTTAGGCTGGAGGACACAGCTGGAGGACACAGCTTATCTGAGTTTATTCTTAGATGCGTCTCTCAGCCAGCAGGGTCTCTACTAGACATCTAAACAGAGGCCATCTATAGCAGCCTGTTGTATTTGATTCAGTTGGCGTGAATGAAAATATGAAATATTAATTGGGTGGAAAATGAGAAAACCAGTCTGACCATAGAAGGCTCTTGATCAGTGTTTTGGATAAAGTTGATGTAGAAGAACTGAAGTGGCAAGGGTTTTTGGTGTTAAGCATGTTGATGAAGAAGGGTTTTGTGTTTCTGTTTAACATAGAAATTTAAGGGTCAAACGTGTCAATTCTGTCATCATTTACTCACCCTCATGTTGTTGCAAAACTGTATGAGTTTCTGCTGTTAAATAGAAAAAGAAACTGTTTGTGATTCTATTGCATTCAGGGCCGGATTTACGCATAGGCATTCTAGGCACGGGATATCTACAACAGTAAAAGAACCAAAACCCCAGAAGACATTGAGCAAATAAATATAACAAACAATAGGGTAAAAATGACAAAATATTTCCATGTCTTCAACCTTTTTATGTACGGAAATCACGCTTTCTTTCCCCCGTTCTCTCTCTCACACATGCACACACATTGACACTCGCGCACACACGGAGATGCAGACAGAAACTTGTCATCAACGCTATATCATCAAGGCCTATTATATTATTAGGGAAGGGGGGGGCTCAAAAATTTATTTTGCCTATGTCACGAAAAGAGGTAAATCCGGCCCTGATTGCTTTCAATGACAGGAAATGTTTACTGGGCAAATTTGACAGCCAGAAACAGACTGCTGCAAGGAAAATAGGGAGAACCCCGGAGCAGATCTAGGCAGGTGGTGCTGGGGAAGGTGGAGGGTTAGTAAAATCCCATGGCTCGCTGCAATGAACTGATTCGATACAAGTCAGGAATAAATAAGTTACATAGATAGGAACAAACAAATGATTGGATGAGCAATCGGCTTTAAGTAAACCAATCAGCTGCTCGGAAGAGATTCATGACTGAACTATATATATTTTAAAACACTTAATTTATGTATCGTTCATTTTTTATTTATTTAGGGGCCTCTTTCCTTTACCAGTACAATGGAGATTTAACAGGAAAGGGGAGCGAGAGATGGGGGAATGGGTTTAGGACACAACCCTGCTGTTTATACGTGATGAATCCATGTCTGCGTTAGCACAACAGCTCCTTTTATGTCTTGTGCAACTCACGTACCAGTGCTTCGACAAATTTGGGTTCATTCATCAGTACAAGGTATATATATCAAAGTAGTAAGGTACGATATATATCAGTGAGGGTAATAGCTTTCTGTCCCCTGCCCAATAATTTAGCATTGTCTATTAACAATCAGCTTGATACCCATCAGAGGATTTCTGGACTGCACTTCTGCTCTTTTGCCAGTCTCTGTTAAAGCTCATATAACGCTCACATGAGTGAATCTGAGGTGTAGATTGACCTTTCAGTCCAATTGCTATCTGGTATTTATCCTCTGAAATGTTGCCTCTGTACTCTTCTAAATTGCTTTGTTCTTTTGGTTCCCAGTAAGGCTAAGTAATTCTGCCCTCTTCATCCCTCGCCGAACCCTCCTCCTTCCTCACACCGAAGCAATTTAGCCAAGAGCGAGACAGATTCTTTCAACACTTAATTGCTGTTTCTATTGAAACACCAAACCTTATTACCTCTTCTTCAAATTACCACCCAATAGTCTGACTGTAAAAGCCTTAAACATCTCACACAAATAGAAAAGAAAAACCTGTGATCCACTGCTTCATCATAGCAAACAGTGCAATCGTTTGTTCCAGTTAACAAAACAAGTCAGTTGCAGGGAACATCTTTTTTTTAGTCTCATTGTCATGTTTGAGACGTCAGTAGCTCCTCATGTGTATTTAAACACTAATGTTGCGTAGATGTTTTTCCTGAAAAGGATTTATACAAATGAATGCATGATGTTTCCATGAATTTTTAACGTGTTTTATAATGCACTTTGCTTGTGTGCTATTTAGGAGTGTTGTAAAATTGAAAGGCTTTAATGTTTCATTTCACAATATAAAGATCTGGGAAAAGTCATCGTTGACGACATATCAAACTGAATATCAAATGTAAAATGATTTTTCGTTAAATGAGACAGATTTGTGATACTCAGAGAAATGATAAGTCTTCAACAAACCAATTAAATGTTGATGTAGCTAAAGCTGTGAACCCGATGGGAAGTCTCTGAGACTCGTTTAGAGGAAAGCGATCCACACAAACTCCCTGAGACTTCCGCCAGCGTAATCAGCTATTCTCATCCATATGCCTGTTTCCATCAGGAGAGCATCCTGAGGCCCTTCCAAACATCTGCCACAACAAGCTACTCAATGCACGTTTTTCATCATGTTTCTTTCTCTTTTTTAGCTTTAAAGGAAATGTTCACACATAAATAAAACTCCTGCATCGTTTCAGAATGTTGTGCTGGTAAATTTAATTTATTGTTACAGTAATTTTGACCTAGAGAGAATTTTCTTTCCCCCCAAAATGGTAATGTTATTGCATCACTGCTTATACATTTCTCATTATACTATATTATTACCAAATATTGGATTACACGTTTTTCATCATGTTTCTTTCTCTTTTTTAGCTTTAAAGGAAATGTTCACACAAAAATAAAACTCCTGCATCGTTTCAGAATGTTGTGCTGGTAAATTTAATTTATTGTTACAGTAATTTTGACCTAGAGAGAATTTTCTTTCCCCCCAAAATGGTAATGTTATTGCATCACTGCTTATACATTTCTCATTATACTATATTATTACCAAATATTGGATTCAATCTTTTTGTCAGCTTCTTTTCTTTCAATTAGCACAGGTTTTGTATTTCTTGTGGGAAGTGATTGATTGCAGGCTTCATTGATCTGAGCCTCAGTTTTTGAGTGAACGTTGTCAAAATTACGCACAATTTTTATTATTTTTTCAAAAACTGAGGTGCATAAGCTCAGATCAATGAAGCATACAATCAGTCAGTTCCAAAAAGAAAAGCAAAACCTGTGCTAATTGAAAGAAAACAAAAAGAATGAATCCAAGAGTTGGTGATAATATAGCATTATGCAAGCTATTTTTTTTTAAAGGCCAGTAATTTTTAATTGAGAACACCAAATTAGATAAAAGATTTTCAGCACAGCACAAGGGTTAAATCGGGAAACACCTTTTCAGACTCTTTGTCTTCCTAATAGTGGGCCTTAATGGAAGCTTTGGTATATTTTGAACACTGTTCTCTACTGAAATTGGGTTGTTTTGAACGAGTGGGACACTTTCTCGTCTCTGGGGACTCTAGCCCCTTTCACACAGCAATTCCAGTAAATTGCCGTAAAATTATTGGAACGACTTTACCGGTAAATACAAAAATGCGCTGTTCACACAGGCAACTATGTTCCGCCTTTTTTCTGGTAAAGCACCATTAACACGTCAGTTTCAAAATACCGGTAAATTCTGTGACATCATTAACCAGAAATTACCTCTAAACAGCTGCACCTCCCGGTGTTGTGTTTGTCAACATGGAGGGGTAAATGCGGTCTGTGTTTTTGTTGATGTTTTCATTTTTGTGTCAAACGTTATCATTTATGCAGCTGTTTGCCCAAAGACATCGTATTAGACAACTTTAGACATTTCTTTGACTTCTGTAAACAGCGCGGAGTAAATGTGTCACCTGCGTCAGAATGTTATGATTGGCCCAGAGTCTTACGTCAGAACGTTCCGAACTCTTATGTGCTCATACCAGTAATCTCGTTCTGCGTTCACACAGAGCACATTACTGGTGGTTTTCTGGTAATATTACTGTTTCTCAAACTGGTAAATTGCCGGAACAGTTTACCGGTATTTTTGAAAAGGTCCTGTTCACACGATCACTTAATGGTAATTTACCGGTAAAGACTGTATGTGTGAAAGGGGCTTCTCTTTGCATTCTAAATGTTTTTTTTTCATAGATGGACGTCTTTACCTTCACCAGTAATCAGGTGTCTTCATCAGAGGCTGTGCAGCAGATGACACATTCACCAATCGGTAACACTTTACTTGAAGGGGTGTGCATAAGACTGACATGACACCTTCATAATCATGACATGACACATGTCATGAATATGAAGGAGGTTTTATGCATGTTTATGACAACTGTCATTAAGTGTCATTCGCTCAGTTATGTCATTTTTAATGCAAATATGACATTATTTGACCTAACCCTAACCTACCCCTACCCTTACCCCTAACCATAACCCATAACAAAGACATCTCAAACAATGTCATCTTTGCATTAAAAATGGCATAACTGAGCGAATGACACTTAATGACAGTTGTCATAAACATGCATAAAACCTCCTTCATATTCATGACATGTGTCATGTCATGATTATGAAGGTGTCATGTCAGTCTTATGCACACCCCTTCAAGTAAAGTGTAACCCACCAATCATTCTGACTTTCACCAGCTTTGGCACTTTGTCATTTGATATCACGGCAGCACAAAGCACGCCACCTGTTCCTTTCCTCAAATGCGTTTGTCTCTGATTGTCTATTGTCCAGCGATTTGAATTGTTCGTTCCATTATACTCTTACCTTTTTTACTTTCATTTTCATCTGTTCTTTCTCGTCAGATTGAACAAGACTATCATTGATTGCCCAGGCCGGAAGAAACATGTCTCTAAATTGCAATCAGCGTTTTTACAATCTCTACAAACTGATTGCATAACAAAAAAATAAAATAAAAAAAATAAATCATGCAGTGTTTCCAGTATACAGCCGGCTTCTACAGTTTAATGTATTCTGGTATGATCTCATTTTGTCTAGTCCTTTTTGTTTCTGCCATTGATGAAAAGATCCTTCCTGCATGTTCTGGAGAGTTATATTAATTTCTACCGCAAGACAAGCTCCACTCAAACTCTCAAACAACATCTGGACGGTCTGTCGCCGCAGCACTTCACGTATGAATGATGGTTGCTGCACATCTGAATCTTAAGAATTACTTGTTTCTGAAGCATTTTTCTAAGAAGTATACCCAAGTCAAATTAAATTTGAACAATATTTGTGCAAATCCAAAACTGAGATTAATGCCTACATGGGCGGCTGTCTTCTATTGTAGCATTCTAACCGACTGACTGTTTTGAAATCCCATAGACAGCAACTGTGAGCGTCACACAAATAATTTGAACAAGTAATTTAAAACAAATGGATCACTTCTAGAATTATGAATGGAAGAAATTGCAATGCGTAACAGGCAATACACACTGTTGTCAGGTGTATTGCTGAGGTGAAATACACTTTCAGAAAAAATTTACATTTTATTTTAAGGTTGTAACAGCTCGTCAGTGGGCCAGTGCCCTCAAAGTATTGCATAATAGTAGCTTAAGGGTACATATTACTATTCTAAAGTGCCAATATGAACCTTTTAGGAGTAGATAAGGTACAATTTTTTGACAAGACACTGCCACACTGACAAACTGTTGTACCCCCAAAGGTAGAATTTTTATTTGTAGTGTCAACCAATATGCTTTCAAGCCTGATATACCGGACAGTGTTTGGCTTTTTTTATTTTTTATTATCAGCATCAGCCAATAAGTTTGGCTGTTTGGCTGCTAACCATCAGAGACAGGACTTTTATTTTGACAGTGCTGAGAACCCTGCGCCTGACGCACTGGAGCTCCCATTCCAACAATTGTATAGTCTACTGTCTGAGTAGGTACTACATTAGCAACCGTTAAAAAAGCATGGTCTATATAATATGATTGAGTGTAGTGTGAATGAAGTCTGGACATACTATATCCACCATGTTGGCTTTGTCACGTCAGGTGCATCAGTGCACTGCCATTCACAGCTCTCCCCTGTGGCCTCATGGGATGGTAAAGTGCCCATCAGATGCACATTCCAGAATCTTCACAGGCTTATTTATGAAAATATCATTCCCGTTGCACACAAACTGGCCAGATCACTCAATTAGTTATGGAGTTTACTTAGTTTTTATTTGTTTTTAACAAATAGGATTAAAGAATTACAGTTGCTATCTGTTCATTTTTCCGATTAATTTTTTCTATCAAGTTCTAATTGTTTCTGTTGAAATATTATGTAAAATAAATATACATAACATGACTTAAATTATGCGTTATTTACTATCGGCCACCAAAAAAAACATTATTGGCCCACCACTCTATCAGACTGGCAAAGTCGTATGATTTCAGCAAAGAGGCTTCATTAGGTTGTACTGTTTCAAAATGTTTGTAATTTGATGCTAGGAGACATTGATCTAAAGATGAACCCATAAACCAGTGTCTAATATATGGTTTTAATTTATATTAATTGATTTAAAGTTTTAAAAAGCTTAGTTTCTCCCATCACTCTTTTATATGGCTCTTGTCTGCCTGTGGGGATAACCAAGAACTTACCTGCCTTGTAGAGATAATTTATATAATCTAAAATATTGCATACTCAAATATTGGGCAAAATAGTTTATTTTAATTAGTGCTCAAACTTGAACTGTATACTTTTGTATATAAATGAAATAGAGTTTGACATTCAGACACATGCTGAGTTAGGATTGTGTATAAACAAAGACTATAGAATACCCAAGACGAGTCACTCGTATAGTTTTGAATGGGGAAAAATGCAACGTTCAATATGGCTACTCTATCGAAGGAAGCCCCGCCTTCTGAATAAAAGAGCCAATCGCTAATCGGTAAAGTCACTGTAGCTGCCATTAGAAGTCCCGGTTGCTATAGAAACAGTCAACGTTCAGAGACGTGTGTTAGGACTGCGCATGCACACTGGCTGGTCTAGCCTGATATATATTTTTTTTAATGCTATTTAAAGAAACATTTATGAGACAGTTGTTGTCAGATTTTATTGGTGATTTCAAATATGAAATTTAATCGAATGCTTAGCGAACAGTTTTGGAGAATTTGATGTTTCCCCATTCAGAGAGATAGGAGCTGCACTTGCATGCCCGAAAAGCGTTTCAAAGATGGCCGCCGAGTGAAATTACTTGCCTTAAAAAGGACTTTGGTCTAAAGAAAGGCATCTGTAAAGGCAGTATAACGTTACTGCTGCCTTTGGGAACAGACTTTGCATCTGAAGTGTGCACATGAAACACATTTATGAATTTCTCTCTCATAAGGCAAGCATTAGAGGGGAGAACATGAAGGTACAAAGGGATCTAATAGATAAGAAGCCAGATCCATGGATAGTGAGTAAATGTCTAACCAGAGAGGTTCTGTGATGCACATCCCTTCTCCACATGTATTTCTTGCAATCACATAAATAATGTATGCCCTTTTTCATTCTCTTGTCTCTTTTCTCTCTTCACAGCTTCCTTCGGCAACATTTCTTAGCTCGTCTATCCTTCTGGCAGCTCTCTCGACTTCCCGGCAGACACGGGAGGCCTTGTTCCAAACTGCTACAGACAGAAAGAGAGAGAGCGAATCTGCCTGGAGGTGGAGCTGTGGAGGAGACTGTTAACTCCAATATAACAGACAGGACCGTCTTTTTATGCAGATCTGAATGGGGTTTCAAAGACTCAAATGGACAAAGTCGGACTCTAAAACTGTAATATAGTGACAAGATTCAAGTCTCACCTCATCTCTACAAAACCCAGAGCACCAACCAGAGCTCTGTCAGACAATAATGAGGATACGGATTGGATCAAGATACTGACTTTCAAGACGTTGACTTAAAGTTGATCTCAGATCCAAATCTGAAGATGGACATTGATCTCAGATCATGTTAAGAAGCGATTCATCTCAGCAGCCTTGATTCCCCAAGTGTTTGGATGATGTCTGACAGACCTGCTCTTTTATCACTCATTTAACATGGACGTAGATGCAATGCTGAAGAAATCCTTTTTCTACAAGTGTGGAAACAGACAATTCCTCCTCCTACCTCTCACGATAGATTGTATCATTTCATTTGCTGAGAATTAGATATAGAATATAGGGCATGACGTTTGATTATCCAGCATCTTCCCATTCCTGACTTCAAGCTAAAGGGATGTTCACACTGACAAAAACAATGACTACATGATCTGAAGCTGGATGGTACGGACAATTTGTTTGAAAATGAACACTGAATGTCATCATTTTGCTTTTCTTCTCAGGACGTTCAAGAGCTTCGTATATTGTTCCTGCTGTTACCTTCATAAACACGCTTTAAGTTATATTCTTGATTTCATTGTCAATTTGAAATCTTGCACAAATGTAGCAGGTTTTCTCCTTATATAAAAAGAATATATCAGCATATAAATATACCTTTACTCTAGAGTATGTGTCTAGATCACTGTCACTCGTAGAAGTCCCAGTTGTCCTTGTTTACAAAGCAATAATGTAAAGCCACATGTCTGCATGGCTAGACCTGTTAGAGATTGAGTTTTTAAATCAGCTACCTTACAATCACAAAATTTAGGTCTGCAACATACTCTACGCAAGCAAACGCTTCTAGATCAATATGGTCCAAGATGTCGCAATTCATAACACACTTCAAGTACCGCCAGTTTCTCTTTCAGGTCAACTATTGTGATGGCGGAGCTGGAGGCTGAGAGAACACCAAATAGTTGATGTTGGGTTTCGTGGATCAGTGTGTTTAACCGTGTTGGTGTTTGTTGGGTCAGTGTGAACATGGCAATTGTGTTTCCCAACATAATACATTAAAATGCTAACTTTAAATGTTTGAAATGTTGCTGGCTGTGTGAACGAGGCTTTTGAGTAATGAGGTTCGTTATCTCCAAGAACGCAAGAAGGCATGTTAAGTATGTACAGACAGTGTAGAGAGACAGTTTATTTCCTCTAGTATGATTAAGGAGCTTTTGCGGAGAGAATGTAATTCTTTCCATTTTGTGATTTTGTCTTTATTAGTGCTTATGAATCCTGAACGCTCCGACACTCAACTACACTGTGATGCAGTGGCATGTTTAAGGAAGCGTAAATGTTTGTCTGTATTCTGAGTTACTGTATAATCTCATTTTTTACAAAGCTTGAGTCTCAGCGTGATCGTCAGATGCTCTTGACACCAGTCATTGTTCTAGGCTTTTACACAATGTACTCAAAGCTGACGGAAATCTGGCCCCGTGACACAAACCAATTCAGTCCATCCTGGTTGAAAGGGTTTATATGAGACTGACAGGCCAGACTTCTCTCTGAAATTCATGTGACATAATGATCGGTGGGTTTCCAGAGCGTTTTGCTGATTCTCGCATTCTGACACACTAGCATTTTTTTCTCTCCAGACATGCAATGGGTTTCTTTTAAATCTTGTTATGCAAAAAAGTGAGGGAAATGAACATTGGTTATGTAATGATCTGCTACCAACATGATTATACAAGACATGGTGTGGCAAAGACAGCTGTATGCGTGTGTTTTGGAATAAAGTTTTAAAAATACAGATTTCTCATTTGTGTAGTTTCTCTTTCACTATTGTGTGAAACAAGTATGTATAGTGGAATAAATGCAAAGTAAAGAACATCTATTAAAAATGCCCAAACCACCCAATTTTGACAGACTGACCTACAGTAAACAAGCATTCTGGAAAACGTCGTCTTTTAGTATGTTTGTAGATTTATGGGTTAATATATATTTTAAAAAATATTAAATACACATCAAAATGTTAAATCTAAACATAATTCTTAAATATGTCAATGTACATTGCATACATTTTAGGGTCAGTGAGATATTTTAATGTTTTTGAAAGAATTATCTTATGCTTACCAAAGCAGCTTTTTCTTAAAATACAGTGAAAGCAATGAAATATTACCATTTAAAATAACTGTGTTTTATTGTAATATATGTCATTCCTGTGATGTAAAGCTGAATTTTCAGCATCATTACTCCAGTCTTCAGTCTCACATGATCCTTCAGAAATCACTCTGATATGCTGATTTCTTGCTGCTCAAGAAACATTTACTATTATTATTATTATCAATGTTGAAAACAGTTGTGCTGCTTAATATTTTTGTGGAAATTGTGATCTAGTTGATTTTCAGGATTCTCTCATGATTAGAAAGTTCAAAAGAACTGCATTTATTTTGAAATAGAAATCTTTTGTAAGATTATGTGTCTTTACTGTTAATTTTGATCAATTAGTATCCTTGAATCCTTGCTGAATAAAATGATTAATTTCTTTAAAATGATTTTACTGACCCCAAACCTTTGAATACTTCAACTTATTTTCAGATATAATGTCCCCTAACTCAAATCTTTTGAATTTGTTTACCAAAAAGATTAATTTGTTTAAAGACTTGCTCAGAGACTGTATTTACAGGTTACAATGTTACTCCAGTAGGTGATTCTCTTGTTTTATGTTACTGAATTATTCACTCAAGTCCGTTTTCAGGAACAAAACATGTCATTTTTTTTTTCATTTTGTTCATTTCTTTGGTTTGTTCATTCATCATCTGCTTCAGAACGGAGATATTTTAGCAAATGAAAAATATTCAGTGCATGAAAGTGAGAATGATTTGATCAAATCAAACACTGATTCACAGATGAAACACCACAAATGCATATAACATCATTGTCTGTTTTGATTAAAGCTTTAAAGCAGCCTGTTCTCATACTGTGTGATATGCCAGAACAGAAAAAGTTAATCGAGTTGCTTCCACCATCAGATAATCTATCGATCCAGAGCACCAGTCTCTCTCTAACATGATTGATGCGTTGAAATGATGTTAAAAACACTTAAATTAGGCAGCCCACTAGGTTTTAAAACAAAGCCATTCTTTATGATTTTTCTCAAACTCCTCCACATTCCTGTAATCACCAGTTTATTTCCCGCTGTGTGCGTCTGGCCCGCATCCATTATTTCTCCCCTTCTCATTTTCAGGATTTGAAACTGCTTCTTATGCCTCTCGAAGGCATTCAATACTCAATAGAGCTGTACGGTTTGTATTCTAAAACCCATAACAGAATTAGCATTTTCGAGCCATAGATTCCCTCCTGAGTTTTCAGTGGGTTTTAGAATAAATGACACATATTCATATCTCAAGCATGAATTTTGTTGCTGACGTAAGGACAGGAGTTTATGTGCTTGATGAATTGGGCAGTCGTTGTAATCCTTATGTAGCAATTTGTTTGCAACTTTTATCCTTTTATACGGAATTAGCCTTCCGTGTTGTATGGAGGCCCATTTCTGCCACAAAGTAAAAAAAGCTGTTTAGATTATATCTCACAATTTTAAGTTAACATCACATGTTTTCCCCCCCAAGTTCATATCTTACAGTTTAGACTTAGTTTATAAAACAATTCTGACTTTTTTCCTATTGTAGCAAATTAGCTCAAAAGGGAAATGTATATAAATAATTACAGTTAATTATGATTAATTACAGTTATTTATATCAGCTGCCAGTAGTAACTGTAGCAGAATTAAATTGCCCTCAACTAATCTGTTCGTCCAGCAAACATTAAGTGTAAGTTCATATCAATTCTAGGAAAGGATATTTTCATGGCCTCAGAAAATACTTTCCTACAGTATTAATGCATTAGTGGTGTAGGAGTCGCGATCACCTTCTTCCGGGTTTGAAGAGTGATGAACTTCAAAAAGATGTTATTCTGACTCTGTGGTGGTCGGGAGAGTTTTCTCCCAGATGAAGATGATGAAGAGCTAAGAGAGACGTCAGCTGAGATCCAAGGATCGTTGGTGAATGTAAAGACAAGGCCAAAGCCTGGTGCAGACTTAAGAGTTGCAGAAGCATTCTAACTCACATCCTCATCTTCTCAGAATCTAACAGAAGCGCAGACTGAAGGCGGGTCACTGATGTGAGGCCTTTAAAGTCTGAGAAGATTCACGCCTCTCAGGATGGGCTTGTCCAATGAGAAAGGCTGAAATTCCAAGCGGGAGGTTGGAAATACTGGGGAGTTTTACGACTAAAGATTCTTAGAACACTAATATATTGCCTATGTACCAACATATAGTATACACTCTCGTTTAGATCATCAGAAGATGAATTCATAGATACTAAACATGGTAAGATTACATATTGGTAAGATTACATGAACGAGTGGTTCTATCATAAGCATGCATAGTATACAATACAAAAGACAATATACAAGAACAGTAACAACATGAAGTATATGTGTGTTCATTCAAAGAAAGGTTTGCCTATGAATTAATTAGAGAAGAGTCCATTTTTATGGGCATTATGTGTCTGTTTTGGAGAGACTTGAGTAAGAGTTGCTCTGCCTGCATTCCTTTGAGCAACAGAACTAGTGTTATCAGATGGTTTGTCTTTGGTTACCATGGAACCAGAGGCCTGTTCTGCCCTTTTGAGGTGTTAGTCGCATTTCGGGGGAAGGCTCCATAGACCCTCATAGTTGGCCCTTTGATTAGGTGAGGGGGCGTTAGATATAGAAAGCTTAATGATGGAAAAACCCTTTTGGTAAATTGGATAGTGCATGATTGCTAGAATTAATAAACGAATGCTCTAAAACAGATAGGATACGTAAACAAATCATGCGATCATTCAAGAGCTTGTCTGCTAAAAGCAGGGCTTTCGTGTGTTGATTTTCTTTTTTCTTGAGGCTGCTTTTGGACAAATATGCCAAAATTGGTGTCGGGGGTTACACTTTTTCCACATTTCGAGTCTCAACAACATGCTCAGAAAAGCGGTCATTTGCCTCCCCCTCCTGGTGAACGCAGTAATGGTGCTTACATTAGGGGAAAAAATAATTATAATGGTCAAAGTCTCTATTAAGCCCCATGGCGTAGATGTGGAAAGAGAGACAGATGTGGAAAAATATATGTGTTACTCTGATTGTGTAGGCACACTTCCATCAACAGCCTTTCTAAAGTGTGTGATAAATTCCCCAAATACCATAGCACTTAGTCCTACCAGCTGCTTTTCCTATTACCTTATTGCTCTTTTCCTTTTTGGAATAAACTTCTGGACCACAAATAAGCTTCAGTCTCTGGGCCATAAATAATTTGGTGTAATGATCTTCAGCACTTGACGATCTATCATTCTTCTATGTGGGTTAGATGATGGGAGGGTCGTTCTGGGATCTGGCGATGCATTATGCGGGCCTGTTTTGTGGTTTAATAGCACTGCTGTGAGCAGTACCTGTTGTTTTGGTTGGCATTTTAAAAGGGAGTGGTTGTCACGTCCTGTCACAAACAGTATGCTGTGATGGTTAGCGTGTTTAGAGCTTGAGTTCTCATCTTTCAAACGTACTGCTTATGTGTGTGTCAGTACATGTACAGTAGCTTTTCAACTGAAAATGAAAGTTTGTCATGATCACGCTTTATTGCCTAAAGTGAACCTTCTCAATTAGCACTCACCGGAAATGTACTAGCGCCTCTGACAGCGAGACATTCCCACGGCGTGCATTAGATGAAACATTTATCTGTGGTGTTCATAAAATCTCCTTTGACACATGATAAATCATACAGCCATATGCCCGACCAATGATCAGCAAATAATAGAACAGTGAATTAATGGCGGTATAAAAAGGCACAAATTAGTGACCCATTAGGCCAAACCTAATGAAGAAGTGAAATGACACTGATTTGGAATTAATAAGAAAGTATGATCACATTCTAATCAGTGGTGTTTATTTTAATAGTCATTGTCAGGCTTCATTCATTGCAATAAACTGCCCGTTTCCCTTCTGGATTGATGCATTCAGCCAGAGTTTTAACTTGATTAATTCGTTTTTTTTTTTTTTTACATTGTGTTAAAAATAAAATGATCAGGTGTGTATTAAATAGAAAAAAAAAAGAAATACAAGTAATCATGAGGAATGGATGTATGGATAGACAGATAGATACAAAGGCAGATAGATAGATAGATAGACAGACAGACAGACAGATGATGATAGATAGATAGATAGATAGATAGATAGATAGATAGATAGATAGATAGATAGATAGATACAAAGGCAGATAGGTAGATAGATAGATAGACAGACAGACAGACGATAGATAGATAGAAGATAGACAGACAGACGATAGACAGACAGACAGACGATAGATAGATAGACAGACAGACAGACGATAGATAGATAGATAGATAGATAGCTAGACAGACGGATGATAGATAGATAGATAGACAGACAGATAGATAGATAGATACAAAGGCAGATAGGTAGATAGATAGACAGACTATTTGTGTCCTAAACAGGCATGGACACCTCCAGTGGTGCCCGGGTGGTGAAGCCTTCCTCAGGCTTGTCAAAGGGGCGCACTGCCAAACAGGCCCACCCCGCTGAGATGGCCCGAATGGGCAGCACTGAAAACGACAATCACGGTAAGAACGCAAGCTGCTTGGGTTTTAAACATACAATAAAGATCTACAACTAACACACACAGGGCATGTAAAATTTTAACAAATCATTGGTTTATGCAAGTGGAATTTACCAATCATTGTTGTTTACATGGTTTAATAAAATGAATAAACATCTTTATTCAAGCCTGTGGAGTACATTTACACATTAAAATAGCTGACTTTTTACAACTACACCCTTGCTTCAACCTGTTGAAGCAGAGGCGTCTCTGAGGTTTTGACAAGCGATTTCACACTTGTATGCTTACGAGAGGAAATGATGGCTGTCTTATTATGGTGAAAAGTGTTTTGACAGATGAAGTCCTTTTACTGGTAGTAAGGTTGTTTTTAATGTCAGTGAAATACGTACCATCTCCCTGCATGGCTGAACTTTAGTCCTATACAATTGTTCAGTGCTGGAGTAAAACTGAATATTGTGTCATTTTCTCTGCATTCCTAAAGCAAAGTACTGAACAAAACTGTTTAAATGGACAAGTGGAATGGATAGAAGTGGTTAAAGGGAGAAATTATGCAGCATTGAACTGATAACAGTTGCTACAGTCTCATTGTAATTGATAAGATAGACATTACTCTGGATCAGTGTTAGTAGGGCTGCAGCAAACTATGACTAAATCAACAATTATTTGGATGATTATTAAAAATGTAAATGCAAAATGCATCCGAAAATGTAGAAATTAATCAGTCGCTCTTGATTGATTGTTCAGCTCAACATTAGAGTTAGAAAAGTGTTTTTTAACTGCGAGGTGTTCAGTGGCAGTAATGGTAGCAAAGTTTTTGACCTCACCAAATTCTTCTAAAAAAATTCAAATATACATTTAACCAAAATATAATATTATTTGACTGTAACCAAAGTTAAGCTAAATATTTTATTAGCTAAGTTTCTATCCACATATTTTTATGTAAATTTGATATTGCATAAAAATGCTGGATAGAATCACCATAATTCAATTCAGATTCTCAAAATATGCATAAAAAAAACTACACAGAAACACTTAAACTGCATAAACTATGATGGAAGCACATTAACTGAATAAAGATGTGCTTCAGAAAAGTCTGAAACAAAGACTGAAACAAATTGCTCTGTCATTCTGAAACGCCAGAGCCATTTCATGCCATCGAAATGATTGACTACACTTACCATACAGAACTGACACACTCTCTATTTCCATTTCTATTTTTGCACCAGTTTAAGGAAACGTACATGCTACATACTGTAGCATCCCCATCAGAATTAAATAAAAATGTAAAAATTCTAATTCATCTGTTTTCTAAATGCATGTTATAGATCCTGAACAATTCATCCATGTATGTTTAATTTTTTTTGTTAATGTTGTTAATGTTGCTAACATCAACATTACTTTGTGTAACTAGCCATAATTTGTGTGTAGTAAAGTTTGTTTAATACATCATGTAAGAGTTTATGTAAGAACATTGCATGATGTACAAAGACAAACAATGTAAAACGTTTCCCATCAAATTATAAATCATTATTATAAGCTTTAAATCGGGGTAAGGCAAGGACAGTTTTGAATGCTGATTTTTTTTAATGTACTCAATAATTGTTTCTTGTTAATTTTTAACTGTTCAGCTGTTCATTAAAAAAAAATAGGGTTAGGCATAGTGCACCATTAAAATGTGATGATTTTAATGGCTTGTAATGCAATGCAAGTATCATAACAAAGTATGCAAATACATTAACAGGGTACAATATCATTATGCTGCATTAAGCTAGACTTACAATGCAACAGTATTGGCTCTAACATGTTCTTAAGAGTGTGTCTGGAGCTGCGTCTGCAATGTTTCAATGTTGACTACTCATTTCAACCCTAAGTGTTACACCCCAGTTCTAGAGCGAGAGATATTCTGGCATGAAGCAACTATAACTCACATTCAGACCAGCGATCTGATGCATAGTTAGGCAAATGTCGTAATTGAGTATGAGTATATATTGCTGTTTAACGAGCTCTTGTGAGAAAATGAGCAATGTTTCAGCTTTCTGGTCCATTCATTCCTCCGCCGCCGCTCGTTTCCGTTTTTTTGCCAATTAAGTGCCTTGAAAGGGAACAAGAGGAAGTTCCAAATTCATGATTTTTTGTTGTTGTCACTGTTAGGTACGGTGGCCGTAAAGTGCAAAGCAAATCACAATTCTGAAAACAAAAGAACAAATTACAAACGCAAATGCAAGTCTAAAAACAAAATAACAATTCAGAAAGCACAACAACAATTCAAAACACATTATAACAAGATAGAAAACACAATGACAAATTCAAAAACAAAATAGCAAGTCAGAAAACACAGCGACAATTCAGACAAACCGGAAGAGGTAGGTATAGTTTGAGACAGCGCCATTGGTTTGGGATTACTCACCGCTGACTGGACGAGACATCTGTCAATCAACGTATACAGGAAGAACCAGCCGAAGAACAGCAGAGTCGTGGTAGAAAGTTCGGAGATGGTAGTAAAGTAGCTCAGTTTAAATGTATTGTATTAATTGTCCTTACTTAACTATAAGCGCTTGCCCTTGGCTTTTTGACCCGATCGACCCGGGTTCGATCCCGCCTTTTGCCGAACTTTTTTTCCCTCCCTTTTCAAATCTCGTATCACATCGTAAAGGCATTTATTTTCAATAAAAATTAAGGAAATAATCAAAAAGTTGAAAATAAAGTATCGGGTAGGGGTAGGGAGGGCTTTATTGTACCAATAAGGTGGCATCCATTTAATAATTAAAATGATAATTTACACTCAATACGTTATTATTGTATACTGTTTTATAATGTACTACAATACTGAAGTGCAGATAATTGCCACAATTTGCAACAAGTAGTATACTTGATAGTAGAAATCCTGCTATTTTAACATAGTGTAAATAGGTATTTGCACTTAGTGTAAATAGCATATTGCTAAAAATACTGCTATTTTCACTTAGTGTAAATAGAATCTATTGCTAATACGAGATTTGAAAAGGGAGAAAAAAAAAGTTCGGCAAAAGGGTCGATTGCCGGGTAGAACCCGGGTCGATTGGGTCAAAATACCAACGACTAGCGCTTATCCATCTGCGCCACTGGAGCTGATGTTTTACAGCCACTTTTAACTAAATCTAAATATATACTCCGTATTGTTTGATTGACAGATGTCTCGTCCAGTCAGCGGTGAGTAATCCCAAACCAATGGCGCTGTCTCAAACTATACCTACCTCTTCCGGTTTGTCTGATTTGTCGTTGTGTTTTCTGACTTGTTAATTTGTGTTCGGATTTGTTGTTGTGCTTTCTGACTTGTTATTTTGTTTTTTAGACTTGCATTTGCATTTGTAATTTGTTCTTTTGTTTTCAGAATTGTGATTTGCTTTGCACTTCTCGGCCACCGTAGTTAGGCCTGCATGGGATCTCTCTGGTACCCATAATTTGATAGGCTTTAATGATAATGGATTTTTTTTGTACTACAATTATGTAATTCAGCTGTTTCATTCATTTAGTGATTTCATAAAACGTAAAATGTGCCAACTGTAGCACAGTTTTGGTTACTAAGCTAAATTTGAGCTAAAACTTGTGTAGCTACTGCTTTGAACCTAAAAATCCCATAATTCTTTGCTTAGAGTGAAGCGAAAGCAGCCTGGCAGAGGTCTGGTGGTAAACAAACTTGGCGCTGACTCACAAATGAGCTAGGAGAATGATATTTGTGCCGGGCCATGCTGTTTGAATTTTACTGCGGGTTGTGAAGATGCATTTTATTGCTTTCACAGTGTCAGGCCAGGGTATCTCTGCCGGAGAATATAGTTAGCTGAGTTTGCAGCCCCTATATGCTGAATGCCTCTCCTCGACTCAGACTGCATGTTCAAAAGCAGGTTCCTAATGCATTAATTTAACACTCGCCGGAATGGATGTCGGCTTTGTAGAACAACAACCTGCCGTTAGTATTTCCACCGAGCACTGAGGCAGAACTGAATGCCGTCTATACAATAGTAAGTAACACAGTGAATTGATGAAGTGTCTTAGGGGGTTAATTGATTCATTGACACATTATATTCTCATCAGTGTTTTTATTGATGGGTCTTTTAAAGGAAGACCATTAAGAGTGTGTGTTTTTCTGTGCATTGAGATGAGAACTATTCATCAGAATGATTTACGTTATGGAAAAAGGAGATTTTCTGTTTATTTACATATTCTTTTTGGCTTCCCATGTGGCCTGTGGTTGTGGCTACTGCTTTTAACTTGTAAACAATGTGTCTGGAAGGAATTCAGACATAAACAATAGTGTTTCCTAGCTGCGGTTGTGACGTCACAATGCCTCCGTCAGTCGGACCCGAAGCATTCAGGCCAGCCTCTCTGAGATGTGGGTTAACACAAATTGTCGTTTGTGTGTGAAAGTGTGTATGTGTTTGTGAGACAGGGCATGGCTTCTTCTGCCAAGGGTGCGAGACACTTGTCTGTTCTTAGTCAGTTTGATGTAGGCAGCTGAATTGCACAGTTGCAGCTGTTTAGTTTCTAATGTCTGGAATGGCTTTATCTTACTTTAAAAGGGTTCTGTGTTCCCCCTGAAGTCCATTTGTAATTACAGAAGAACCAACATTAGTTTAGACTTTACAGTATGAGCCTGATATTGCATTGAATATTAAAAGAAAGATCACTTTACCTGTGACACTGTTGAAATTGCAGTGGTGTAATAGTGTTGCTGGATGCGCTGAATGCATGTTTAGAGACCAAGCAGATGGAGCCATATATCTGTAAACCCGATATTTATTAACTGATAATAAATGGAAAAGTTTGAATTAGGGATGCACCGATATGAAAATTTTGGCCGATACCGATAACCGATTATTCTTTATTTTTGAAAGCCGATAACCGATATGTTGGCCGATAAATCTATATCCAAATTGTTATATACTTTTTGAGAGCCTGATTACAAAAAAGGTCTCATCATTAAAAGCCACATCCCCAACACTTCAACATAAGCAGCCTAGTTTGAAC